TTACACCCTTTATCCAATTCTATTGATTATCATCCCAGCACTGCTTTGGCTTATTCGACTAACACTTATTAGGCAACAATGACCATTTTCGCAAGACTTATCTGAAAATGACGTTTCTGTGCTCTAAGTAACTCATGTTCTTTCAGCATGAAACTCAAAGACGGATGATGATCGGCGGTGCCGATTAAGTTTAAGTTAGCACACAGGTTGATGAAGCGGCATTTTTCAAAATCAAGTAAATATTCCAGCTAAGAAAACTAAATAAATTTGATATTGACTATGATGAATATATGGCTGTTGTCCAACAGAATAATTATAAAGTATTAGTCTATTCAACAAAACGAAATCTATCATCTATTACCAAAACAGATACACATGATGCAGACAGCGAGACGCTTATTCATTGGTGAACTGGTTATTTTCTGAATAAAACAAACGGAATTGTGAATATTAGTTGATTTCTACATCTAAATAAGAACATCAGCTCGCAGACAAAAAACTTTGAATGTAAAATGCATAGTGATAAACTTTATTTAAGTTTAAATAATATATGTATATACTGTATATCAATGGCCGTCATATCTTGTTACGAGTTGGATCGGCAATAGTTCTGTTAGCTATCGGTTATAAATCTCTCACGAATCCAAAGCTATGACGCGAAGGTCTTGGTACAAGTTAAAACAAATTAACAAAAATCTTTTTACACATGAAAATATGAGTTTTGAAATCAAAATTTTTAAGTAGTTGAAATATTTTTTTAGCAAGTTTACAGGATATTTTGTTTCGCAGTTACAGATGTTTTTCTGCCATGTTTCAAAGTATCATCTGTACAAGGAGTAAAGGCTAAATTTCAAAATTATAATTTAATATTTTTACTAATATTATCTACTCGCCATCTCTGTTTGTCAAAACTGAAAGTTTTCTTATTTGAGTTAAATTGAGCATTATCTAACAATTACACAATCTCGTCGTACGATTTTTGATAAAATCGAAAATTTCAACTAATCGGTAAAATTATCGCTTCGGTGTTAATTATTTTATTAGTGAAGTTATTTAATCTGATTCCACTCAAAATGTAATCTTTTAATGAGACCTAAAATGACTCCTGAAGTAAATTGACACGACTAACAATCGTTAGAACGCATGAAACATTTGATTATTTTCTTATTTAACGTGTTCTAAAGATCATTAATCGCTTGAAATTATTTCGTAGGAGGCTTGAATGTTTACTCAAAGTTCGACAGAAACCAATTTCGTTTAGAATCACGGAATGTATGCATAGTCACATATATAGCGTACGATGTAGAATGGATTATGCATAAATTACTACGTGGTTTTATTCAATTTACAATAGATTGAACACTATCACATTCACCAACATCTTTTTTAACTAATAGAAATTCACCATATAATACATCAGCATCATCAACATGCGGAACTAATTTACATAATTCTTCAGTATTATTATATTTA